ATAAGAGACAGATATATATATATATATAAAATTTATATGTATTTGACTTGCATTAAGTGTATCATTTACTATGTGGGAAAAACAGACCTACCAGTTTCACAGGCGGATCCCTCAAATCCAGGTGCACAAATGCAACGTCCTGTTTTGTCATCACATACGCCACCATTATAGCAGTACTCGCACTGACCTGTGCAATCAGGAGGGCCCCATTTGTGACGTGGACACGCTTAAGGAAACAGAAAATAAAGATGCTCAGAGTTACACCCTAAAGAGTAATGCTTCAAATATAGGCTGAAATACGCCTTAAATTATCTTAGTTTATTTATTGCTGCTTCTGTCTCCTTTTTAAAATTGAAAACGCAAGATGGAATGAAGTTAGCATGAAATATATGTAATATATATAGATGACTTATATTTCGTTTTAGTTGGTGCATGATGAATTGAAAATACATAATTTATTGCCTAGGAAAGAATAATATAATTGTGTTTTTTGTAGAGATTTAGCACTGGATTATCATTAAAAGGAGATAAACTGTAAACCGTCATTTGTGAATGGTGCATTCTACTTACACATTGGTCTTTCGCCAGACGGAATATGAGATGTGTTTAGTATTTGGACATCATGATACCAAATACCACATTTAGTGCTAAACCCGTCAAGATTCTTTAGGAATACTAGAAAGTTCCTAACCAAGTTTAGCTTTTAAACATATCACCAAAAACGGGAGAAATAGGTAAATGTAGGAAAAATGGCCCAGATAAAATTTGGTTTTTGGTAAAAATTTTGTTTTTTAAAAGAATCTAACATCAAATAAGTTGCCATTTATATTTTACTTTTTACAGGAATTACATATCCATAGATTAATAAATAAGTCATGAATAACATTATATTTTCCACTTAAATGTTGAAAAATAGCAACAATTTAATCAAGAAATCAACATAAATCAAGCATTTGTTAATATATAATTTAGTTGTGGCCAATTTCACGGAAGGGGAATCACAGTTTCCAGAAATGTTTAACTTCAACCTGGGTATTGCTAAACCCCGCAAAAATAAGTTGCTATGAACATCATTTTTTATGAGATACTAAAGGGTACATTGATACAATCATAACTAAAGGCTTTGGATGGGGTTCACGGTGTGTTTTTGGAGGTTTGCGGTGTATGTTCAGGTATTTTGCACACAAAAAAATCAACATTTTAACAAAAAAAATAGGTTCTTATGAATTTATTTAATTTTCTTACTGATAGACCAAGTGAGTCAATCACAATTACATGGCTTGGTTTTCTACAGTGTGTTTTTAGGAGGTTTGTGGGGTTTAGCAATACCATTTAACCCTACCATAATACCTTACCCTCATAATTATTTACATGCCATTTTAATTCTTAGAATAATTCATGCCATATTTACATAACTAAAGAAAATTTGAGTATATCTCAGTTTTCATTATTTAGTATAGTTCTGAAAAAAATTAATTGATTTTTTGTTTTAGTGACAGTTTACGAGTATGTATGATTATGATGAATTTAAAAAAAAAAAAGATTCAGAAGAAAATAAACATAAAGCAACTTTGACATAATTAAGACCTGACATTTTAAAATGAGTTACTGTATTTATCATAGGCATGTGGCGCAAATAATACATTATAATAAATAAACTATGATACAAATAGTTAACAGAATACAATGACAACTAGCACTTTACAGTATAATTGTGATGACAGTTTATTTATTACATATTTTTTAAATCTCTGGACTTTTCAATTCATCTATTTTTAATTCTTCCAGCAAAAAGTATTATAAATGGCAACTTATTTGACATTACCGATAGATACTTTAAAAAACGTTATTTTACTTTTCAAATATGCATATGGTTTATTTTGATTTATTAATTCAATTTCTGCTATTTTATTATTAATATACTTTGGAGAATTTAAAAATATAATTACTGAATTTTATCATAATGGTTTATTAAATAAATTTTTACTATTTTAAAGCATTTAAATATTTTTTGATTTATTACAAAAATCAATTGTTTAAAATGAATTTTAAAATGGGGAGGTGACATTATTTTATTTATTGATTTAATGCTTGCTATTTTAAAGTATTTAAATATTTGAAGATTTAAAAAAAATCTACTGAATTTTATCATTGGGGCCATTTTTACCTACTTGTCATTTGAGGTCATTTTTACGGGGGACATTTTACCGGGGCCATTCTAACCGGGGCCAATTTTACCTGGGCCATTTTCACCGGGGGAATTTTTACCGCACATCGTGTAAGTATATAGGCCTATGCAAAAATTCACAATATAATAGAAATATACTGCTATAATAGTTATATATACATTTTGAACGTTGAAGTTAGATCTTCGATTATATCCAATAGATCTCTGTAATCTAATGGGTATAATACTCGACTTGACAGCGAGAGGTTGCAGGTTATATAT